ATATCGCTAGCTGCTGCATGAAGTGTCCGTACACCTGAAGGCCCGGCAGCAGCAACTCGAAGGAAACAAAAGAATCCAAAAATAATAAAAATAGAAATTAAATTAAATAAAATAAATGACAAGAATTAATAAAATGAAACAAAAAATAAAAACAAAATAAAAAGCAATTCAAGAAAAAAGTAAATATTCTTTTTGTGCTTTTCAGGCAGCTGGGCGCAGCTTCTCGAGAAGGAGAATCAGCAGCAGCAGCAGCAGCAGAAGCAGCAGCAGCAGCAGCAGGAGCAGCAACAGCAAGAACAGGAGCAACTGAAGACAATGAAGGCGACACGTCACTGGCCCCAGCAGCAGCAGCAGCAGCAGCAGCAGCAGCAGCAGCAGCAGCAACTGGGGGGACCCGCAGCCGCCGGCCGCCCCTAGAACGCATGCAGCTCACTGGCTTGGGGCTGCGTGTGGGTTTGCATGCAGCGCCTGCTGCAGCTGCTGAAGCCACGAAAGCAGCAGCAGCAGCAGCAGCAGCAGCAGCAGCAGCAGCAAGCAGCAGCAGCAAAGCCCCCGGCACGCCCTCGCACTCTCCCTTCTGCTCAACTGCTGCTGCTGCTGCCGAACAAAGAGCTGCAGAAGAGGCCTGCTGCTCTCCTGCTGCGCAAGGGGCCCCCAGCAGCTACTGCATGCAGAAGCAGCAGTTGCAGCAGCAGCAGCGCCAGCAGCAGCAGCAGCAGCACCAGCGGCAGCAGCTGCTGCAGCAGCAGCCCTTCGGCTACTTCCGCCCACGCGGGGGCGAATTCACGCTGCAGCAAGCAGCAACTCTCATGGAGCTCGACGGCGTAGCAGTCAGGCCACCCCCAAAAGTGCAGCAGCAGCAGCAGCAGCAGCAGCAGCAGCAGCAGCAGCAGCAGCAGGCACTGTCGTATCTGCCAGGGGCCAGGAATGGATGCTGGGTGAGCCGCTCCCTGCTGCGGGGGCCCCCTGAAGCCCTTCAGTACCCTCTTAACCGCCAAGGGGGCCCCCAAAAGGGCCCCCTTGGGGGCCCCCAAGGGGCCCCCCTTGGGGGCCCCCAAGGCCTTTTGAGGGCCCCCAGGAGGCCGCTGCAGCAGCAGCAGCAGCAGCAGCAGCAGCAGCAGCACTGGGGTGCGCCGAAGCAAACATTTGGGGCTCGCGAGCTGCTTTATCAGCAGCAGCAAAGGACATTCCTGAGGCGAGCGCAGCAGCAGCAGCAGCAGCGGCTGCAGCAGCAACGGCAGCAGCAGCAGCAGCAGCAGCAGCAGCAGCAGCGTTTTGCCACCGTGAACTGGAGGGAGCGAGAGGAAGCAGCTGCTGGGGAGTGGCTTGGTGAGCTGCTGCTGCAGCAAATGGATAAATAAATAAGTGAATAAAAAAGATTAAATCTAAAAAATAAAAGTAAAATAAATAAATAATTGAAAATAAAAAGAAATAAAAAAGAAAGAGCAGCAGATTTAATGAACAAAGCAAATACACTACACTGAATGTGGGCAGCAACGGGACAGCTGCGGTTGCTGTCACTGCTGCTGCTGCTGCTGCTGCTGCTGCTGCTGCTCTCCGCAGCAGCAGCAGCAGCAGCAAAGAGGCAAAAGAGACATAAATAAAGGCAGAAAGAAACTCCTGCGTTTGCTGCTGCAGGTCAGATGTGTCCTCCCCCCCACTATCCCCCGCGACGAGCACGCGGCAGCAACCCCTTGCTGCTGCTGCAGCAGCAGCAGCAGCAGCAGCAGCAGCAGCAGCAGCAGCAGCAGGTATGGCAGCTCAGCCCTCATGGCTCGCCCGCTCGGAATGACCATTTGCTGCCGCCCCCCATAAACTCAACTTCAGAGCCTCTGTGTCTTCCCAGAGACATTTTATCATTGCAGCAGAAGCAGCAGCAGCAGCAGCAGCAGCAGCAGCAGCAGCAGCAGCAGCAGCAGAGGAGCAAGAAGTTTGAGAGAAACCCTCTTCCAAAGGGCTTCGGAAGGACCTGGCTTGCTGCAGCCCCCGTTGCTGCTGACAGCAGCAGCAGGCAGCAGCGCAACAGCAGCCAGGAAGCACTTGCTGCTGCTGCTGCTGCTAGGGGCCCCACAGGCTTTGAGGGGCCCCCAGGGTTCAGGGGGGCCCCCTTGGGGCCCCTGTGGCCGCGCTTGTGGGGCCCCCTGGCCCCGCAGCCTGCTGCAGCAGCAGCAGCAGCAACTGCTGCTGCTGCTGCTGCTGCTGCACCTGGCAGCCCCTCCCCGCCAGCCGGCCGGGAAGCCGCGGCGGCCGCGGGCGGCCCCCCAGCAGCAGCAGCAGCAGCAGCAGCAGCAGCAGCAGCAGCAGCAGCAGCAGCAGCAGGGCTGGGGGCCCCCCTCGAATGCCCCACTTCCTACACAGAACTCATCGGATTCTTCAGGGGCCTCGCGGGGCCCCCAAAGCAGCGCATGCAAGAAGAAGGCTAAAACAGCTTTTGCTGCTGGCCAGTAATTAATTAATTAATTAATTAATTATTTATTTATTTATTTATTTATTTATTTGTTTATTTGTTTATTTATTTATTTATTTATTTATTTGTTTATTTATTTATTTGTTTGTTTGTTTGTTTATTTGTTAATAATTAGCTGGGAAGACACTAACAGGCAAGGGGCCCCACAGTGAAGTTCAGGGTGTGCCCACAAGACACAGCTAGCTGCAGCTAGCTGCAGCTAGCTGCAGCTAGCTACAGCTAGCTACAGCTAGCTACAGCTAGCTACAGCTAGACAGAGCTGTGGCTAGCTGTGGCCAGCACTAGCTAGCTGTATCTACCTGTAGCTAGCTGTAGCTAGCTGCAGATCGCTGCAGTTAGTTAGCTAGTTACGGACAGCCACAGCTAGCTACAGCTAGCCACAGCTAGCTGCAGCTAGTTACGGACAGCTGTCCTTAGCTGTAGCTAGCCACAGCTAGCTGTAGCTAGCTGCAGCTAGCTGCAGCTAGCTACAGCTAAGGACAGCTAGCTACTGCTGGCCACAGCTAGCGACTGCTGGCCACAATTAGCTGCAGCTGGCCACTGCCAGTTCCTCGCTAGCTAGCTAGCCAGGGCAACGGAAGCGCAGATGCTCCACAGCTAGCCAAGCCGCTACGGCTAGCCACAGCTAGCTGCAGCTGCCTACAGCTCGCTGCAGCTGCCCAGAGCTAGTTACAGCTGCCTACAGCTAGCTGACGTTGGCTACAGCTAACTACAGCTAGCTACAGCTAGCTACAGCTAGCTACATCTAGCTACAGCTAGCTACAGCTAGCTACAGCTAGCTACAGCTAGCTACATCTAGCTACAGCTAGCCACAGCTAGCCACAGCTAGCTACACTGAATCGCGGAGGGCTTTGTAGCTAGCTCCATCAAGTCCAGCTAGCCACAGTGAGCTGCACATGGCTGCTGCTGCTGAGGAGAAGCTGCTGCAACTTTGTCATTTTAGTTTCTTTCAAAGAGGTCAAATATATACTGACGAGAAAAGCAGCAAAATAAACAATGCGCTGAGCTCTTGCAGCAGCGGCAGCAGCAGCAGCAGCAGCAGCAGCTGCTGCTGCTGCTGCTCGCCGCGCTGCAGCTGCCGGTGGGCGGATTTAGCGGGGAAAAACACTTTAATAAGTGTTTTTTATTTTAATTTTAAAATTTGTTCTTTTAAAATTAAAAAAAAGAAATAAAAAGCCGCAAGATGACCCGAGAACTGCAGCAGCTGCTTCATTGACTGCGGGAGCTCCTCCGATTTCCCGCTGCAGCAGCAGAGGCGGCAGTTCAGCGAAATATCTGAAAAAAGACTAAAAAATAAATTAAAATAATAAAGATTAAATATATTTGTTTATTAATAATTGTTATTTTCATGAAAACTTCAAAGGGCTTCGTTAAGGCAAGACAAGCAGACCCGGGGTCGTCGGCTGCTGCTGTTGCAGCAGCAGCAGCAGCAGCAGCGGCTGTTGCTGCTGCTGCGGCTTAGAATCGAGCCTCTTTATGTTTGTCTTATCTTTTTCTGCGTTTTCCTCTGGATTAAACAGCTTAATAATTATTTTTCTTTATTTTTACTTCCCCGGCAGTGCTACTGCTGCTGCTGCTGCTGCTGCTGCAGCCCCCGGTCGCCCAGGTGACCCTGGGGCCCCCCGGAAGCCGCTGTGCGCCAAAGGGCCCCCGGGGGCCCCCTAGCGTACCCTGTGGGGCCCCAGTGAACCCACAACACATATAGCAGCCTGTGGGGCCCGGGGGGCCCCCCAAACCCCTCTTTTGCTGCAGCCAGTGGGCCCCAGGGGCCCCCCAGCATCGACTATGGCTCCCAAGTACACCCGCGAGCCGCTGCAGCGGAAGCAGGGGATGGAGCTGCTGCAGCAGCTGCTGCGGGAGCACGAGGCCCTCCTCCTCAGGCCCTACCCAGCAGCAGCAGCAACAGCAGCAACAGCAGCAGCAGCAGCAGCAGCAGCAGCAGCAGGTCCACAGCCTTATCCCCTGCTCGGGCTCCACCCTTTAGCAGCACCTGTCCAAAGAGCTTCTAAAGGCAAATACTTTCCCCAGAGGCCCCTGACCAGCCAGGGGCCCCCCTTGGGGGCCCCCCTGTTGGGGGCCCCCCAGGGGGCCCCCTTGGGCCTTCCCTTGGGGGCCCCTGGGGGGCCCCCGGGGGCCCCCACCCCCAGTCTTGCTGCAGCAGACAGCAGCAGCAGCACAGAGCTGCTGGGGTTTATCCCAGATGAGTTATTTCAGGGGCCCCCGGGGAGGCAGCAGGGGGCCCCCAGGTCTAGGGTGGGGGTTGGGTCCGGGCGCGGGGGGCCCCCCAAGGCAGCAGCAGCAGCAGCGCCTACTGCTGCTGCTGCTGCTGCTGCTGCTGCTGAGCCCACAGCAGCAGCAGCAGCAAAAACCCCACTGTGGCTTCCCCCAAACCTAAGGAGAGAAAAGAATCCTCAGGGGGCCCCTCTTTTGAGAAGCAGCACCAGCAGCTCGCGGCTAGTGTTCACTGACGGGCGCCCCAGCAGCAGCAGCAGCAGCAGCAGCAGCAGCAGCAGCAGCAGCAGCAACGCGAATA